TACAAGGATAAATGGATGCTCGTGGTTCTCACTTTTGATCACTTTATCATAGAAAGTATACTTGATCATAATGCCAAAATCACAAAGAGAACAATAATAAATGAATCCCTTGAAAGCTTTGGTGCATAAATGGCAAGAACATTTCTTTGGATGAGGTGGAGGTTTGGGTAGAAGGATAAGCGAGTGTTTGCGGTGACTAAGGTGTTTGATCTCAAGGGGTAACTCAAAGCATTTCTGATGAAGGAAAAGCAAACAATCAAAACAACAACAAACAGGACCTGAGATGGGCTCTTTACATGCAGAGCAAGATCGATCTTGGGGTTCAATGTAGTGGTTTTGAATGAATAAGAGTGAATGTTGATGGCTAAAATGTTTTCGCTTAGGGAAATCTCCGGTAATCAAGTTCGGAAGCAAAGCACATCTAATGTCAAGATCAAACTCACAAGAAGAACAATGATAAACAAATTCCTTACCTTTTTGTTTGTGGCAGGAATTACACGAAAATCGACCGGTATACTGTGACTTCTCATAAAGAATGAGGGGATGGCTCGGGTGAAAGGGATGATTGATCTTCCGTGGCAGCTCAGCACAAGACTTATGAAGACAAAAGCCACACTCTGAGCAGTTGTAGTAAGTACCCTCTACCTGTTCCCGACATGCCGAGCAGAAATAAATTCCAGTAATCCAATCCATCTCCCGATCGTCCACCAGCACCAAAGGATGAGGATGACTAAAATGATTGAGCATCATCTAGAGGAGACTGAGTCAATGAATTGTCTTTAGTTCGGTTTGAAGAAGATAAGAGTGCAGCAAGTGACCAGATTTACAAGGTAAACATAACATGTAGCATCAGCATCATTCTAAAATAAACACATGGATTTCCATTTTCCTTCGATCTGCACGGAATGATTCCTATTTCCTGCTGTTCAAAAAAAAAAAAAAAAAAAATGATTCCTATTTCCTTATCTGGTGTGGACTCTCCAACTGATTTAACGGTTTAAGAAAATTTCGTAACCTCTACGGCCTAGGAAATTAAAAGTTTAGGCCTACACGGCCCAAAGATCTATCATCTTGGGCCTTGGGCAGCTTTTTAGTGGGTTTTTTAAATAAGTCCACTATGGATAATAAACGATTCATAAAGCTCCTTATTCTTTTTAAAGCCTAACATTCAAGTCCAAAAACTCCGTCCCATCCTACTCTCTTGTCCTGCGCCTTCGAAGCTTCCGTCTTCACTTCAGATCAACGATAACTCCCTCCTCTCTTAAAAATCCCAACTTTCTGTTC